TGTGTGTGTGGATGCCCGAGAGAATTAGTGTGTGTGTGTGGATGCCCGAGAGAATTAGTGTGTGTGTGTGGATGCCCGAGAGAATTAGTGTGTGTGTGTATGCCCGAGTGAATTAATGTGTGTGTGTGTGTGTGTTTTTCTGGGGTCAATCAAAAAGTAAAAAAAAAAAAAATAATCAATTTTGCCCCTGCAGCTGGGCAGTAAAGACAGCACTTTACCACCTGCTATTTCCATATCTGGATCTAATTTACCTATTTTAGAGTCTTTTCCCCTCTTTTATACTCAGATACTTGTTATGTCTCCAATTTCCACATGCACCAAGTTCTARGTCCCAGTCCTCCTCTTTGCAAACTATCACACAGTTCTAAGTTTCTGTAAACAATTAACACAACCAGCATCTGTGCTACAGCCCACAGAGAAGAAGACCACTACCAACTGTTCAAGCCTAAAATAAYTGAGAAAACTAGCTTTTTGTCTGATTTATGTGTAAGCTTAGCGAGCTCTTCTGGGAAGTATTTTTTAAAAACCCTTTTTTTTCTGTCCATTTTACAAATCCACTTTTTATTTTGCAAAAACGTGCAGTGAGAATCGTAACAAGAAAACACTACTATCACCTTACAAATATTCTGTTTAAACAATTGGTACTGTTGAAATTTKGGGAATTGGTAGATTATAGGATTCTGTTGATTATAAGGCTCATAAAAATGTATTGCCACCTAATATACAATCCAATTTTGTCAAGAGGGATAGTGTTTATAATTTGAAGGGACCTGAAATGTTTGTAAAGCCATAAATTAGAACAAATTTGAAGGAGCGATGCACCTCTGTCTGAGGAATTAAACTGTGGAACAACCTGGACAATGACCTTAAAAATGCTGGAACAATTTATTCATTTGGTAGGAAGCCTAAAAGTTTTTTTAATGAGATTTGAATAATGTTTTGGTTGAAAGTGAGACTTCTGATGTGATGTTTTCTTGATTATTTTAAGCTATAYTGTGAAAGTTGAGTTTAATTTCTGCGTGTTGTATGTTTTGTAGATATATATATTTTTAAATGGGGCAGATGTTACAAGATTTTTTTCTTCTTTCTGCTCCTTTTCATTTGACCATGCTGTGTTGTGTTTTTTTTTCTTTTTGACACAACATTATTATTATTTGTATTGTTTTAGTTAATGTTCGAATGAAATAAAGTATTAAAAAAACACTACTGACATTGTCAGGCATGAGGCAAAACTGACTAGGCAATAAGACCAAATGTCTAAATAGCTTTCCTGTGAGGTTAATTAAATAAAAACAGGTAGTGCCAAAATAGTTTCCAATTTTTATTTGTTTATATGTTTTATCTATAGAATGGAAAGRGGGAAAATAAAAACACACTGAAGCAAGAATGTAGATTCTTAGAAAAAATACTAGGTTATCTGTATAATGGAAAACTTGAAAACATTTTAAATACGTTAATATCACAAATAATAGAAACTGTGTTTAGCCTATTAGTTTGGGACTCATAGTTGGGTGGTAGATTACCAACATTCAACCATCCAGAGCGCAAGCATTTACAGATATAAGATGTTCTGATTTTTTTATCCGACATCTTCAATGTTCCAATCTTATTTTGTTGTAAAATACTGAACAATACCCTCGTATAAACTTGTTTTAACTGGACATAAGGTAGTGCTCACATCAGAGCAAAAGGAGACGGTGGCTGAATTTTAGACCTTTAAGAGGTAGATAAGATCGACTTTTCATTCAAGCATCTCCCAAAACTAAGGAAATCGTTGCCCCCCAACTCCACACACACACACACACACACACACACACA